TGCGTTGTGTTTTGCCTTGCGTGCATGCGTCCTCGGATAAAAGAAGACGAAATGTGACATGCCTCTTCCATTTATTTGCGCACGATGTCCTAAGCTGGTTCAATGCAGAAATGTGCGTGGCCTTCATCAAAAAGTAACTTTCGCATCATCGGATGTAACGTTGAAACTATCCAGGGCAGAAAATACGTCCGAGCAAAGACAGAGTCACGTATATTTGCCTGCGTACAAAAGCTTTTAGTCATCAATTCATAAATAATACGGCAACCGTCATTATTTTCTCTTGATCAGATGTTTTCAAAGCACCCCGAAATATGAAGCTGAAGGGCTATGCACATTTCATAGTAATGCTGGAGGAAGTTCGTTTCAAACCCACACTCCGTTTTTTGCTGCAGACCCCCGGGCCCTTGGCCTGAACAGCGCGATAGTGTAGCTTCAGTCGCGACACCTACATTGTGTCATCTTCCCTGTGGACTGACAGATGTTCTATAAATACCTATATTTTCACATACATTCAGCACCCCTAAAACCCAAATTTTGACTCAACTTTAAAATGGAAAAATACGTTTGGGTAAAGAGATATGGACAAATCATGACTGTGGTTAGGCAAGCTTGAACTATTTTGCCAACACTGTACTTTTCAAGAATTGATATATTCTCATCGGCATTTCGTAAATAAAAAGGAGCATCTAAGGAACTATTGCGTATTCCGTGTTATATCTTGTGCAACAGCTCAAAGATTGTCAAAAACTGAGGCGAAAAGAACGATCAGCTATAAAATCTGGGCGATCATAAATCTGGGCGAAACACCGTAATACTCTACGTATGCAGTTGAATGAACGTCGGACGCGGGCCATGTCCTTAAAAGAGCCTGGTGCCGCAACGCTGTGACGTAATACGTGACGTCATTGGTCTCCCGTCATTTAACATGCCGTGTGCAGGCCTGCCTTTCACCGAGCTTCTTGTGAAGGTCTCGCGGTAAGTGCGGTGACAATTATGGCCAACGATTAACACTCCGTAAAGTGGACCAGCCCTTCAGACCCGACGTGGCTGTGAGGCAGAGCCTGTTTTAACCTGGTGACTAGGGAGAGGGCAGGGGCAGCAGTGATCGCCAAAGCGCCCTTCCCCCAGTAAACCGCGAAATCCTCCCCAGTGGAAAACTTGTTTTGCCGGCAACCCACGTCCGACCATGTCTTCGAAACAGTTCAGGCAGTAACCGCAATGAAACGCATCTGAGGGGCGCGACCGATGCGTGCAGTCTCCGTGGAACCGGGCATCCCATGGTGAGGAACTGTTCTTAGACTAGGAAAAAAGAGAACGAAAAATGAGTACGCTGCAGCTGTTGGAAGATAAAAAAGATTCCGACTTCTGCCAGCAGGAATTTGAATGGCATAGATGTGTGTCAGAATCTGGGCAAGGATGTGATCAACAGGTGCTCTTCATGCCTGTGACATTTCCGCTTGATTCCATCTGGTTGGTTAAATTCCTGAACACCTGTCACTTCAGTTTACGAGCAACATAAGCAAGATAAGCTAAATAAGAAAAATCGCGGAAGAATTCGGTGAATTCAGCTAGCGTGTCAACGGCAAATGTATGGCTCCGCACCTGACGATCGCCGCACCACGCCAGTGTTATCCAGCTGCAGGTGGGTCTGTCCTGCTACCCTGGGATCTGCCGTCCTTGGGTTCAACTGCTTCCGTTGACGATGAATCCTCTGAAGAGCTTCAGTGGCAAACCCGATTTGCCCTCGGTTCCCTCCGTGCAACGTCATGATGCTCATGTTTGGTTTTGAGGATCCGGGATGTAGTTGACCACTCTTACTGCACTCACTCAGCGCTTGCTTCTGCGGTTTTTCTGAGGGGCGGGGGGGGAGACGACGGGTGCAGCTTCCCACGTGACCACCTCCCTCGGTTCCGCTGCAGGTGCTCCCGCGCTTGCTTCCTGTGGTTGTCGTACCATGCCCTGTCGAACAATCCTTTCTACAGTGCAGCACATCAGTCTGTTCAAACAGCACCCATAATGTCAGCCTCTTTTTGCCTATCATTATTTAACAGAAGCAGAATTCGGTGGACCTTTTTGGAACCACAACAGGCCCCTAAACCATTACGGTTCACACTTCCCTTGCACACCAACGTATTGGTAGCATCAGTCAACACAGTCATAGCATCCCATTTTTTGCAATGACTCCAGCGTGAGGTGCAGTTTCCGTCTACGTCCGCCAAGCAGCAAACTTTCTCTAGATGACAAGAGTTCCACAGTCTGTGGCTTGTGGCCATTCACTCATATTCAACCGCTTCTTTTTGGCAACAGTTATGCGGTTAACAAATCACTCGTCTTGGCTCTTGAAGGTATGACTCTATGCAGTAGCGTGCGTATGATTTCACGATGGGGTAGGAAGAGAGGAGGGGGGGGGGGGCACAACTCCGCGCTGTTCAGTGACGACCGAGTTCAGCAAAATGTGTTGCCTGGCATAAAAGAGCATGTTCTCCATACTATTCGTACGCGTCCATCCAGAGTTATTAGCTGTCAGCATTAAGTCCCGTGCATATTTATAGATGCCACTTATTTGGTACGGGGCTCCCCTACGCTCCCGGGGGCTCTTATTACGTGCGTATGGGCCTGTCTTTGTGCGTATTGATTGACACTTGTCTCCAGCAATTCATGAGGCTAAAACCACGTCTCGGCCGCCGAGTCCGTCGCGGCCAAAACAAAAATAACTTTAAAACATATAAAACAATAACAACAAAATAATACCGCCTGGTGTGGACGCATCTGAATTCACTCAGAGCGTTCGCTGAATCGCTGCAAAACATCTTTTGAACACTTTCATAGGCACGCCGTGCGGACTGGTGACACTGGAACGCATACTAAACACAATGAGCCCGACCTTGAATAATTCGGCGTACAAATAAACCCGTGTAAAGTTCACACGGCCGCCTGTGCTCGGTTTTCGGCTGGTCATCGCCGCACCTTCCGTTGCATGCTGTATTTTTTTAAGCCAGCCACATTGTTCTACTTCCGTCGTATTTCTAACTACCTTACCACTGCCGCAACGTTTCGATACTGCCCATACTCAGTCTTATCTGCAATTTACAGGTCGTCGAATGGTCACTGCTGTTACATCTCCGATAGCCGTCAAGTACCGCTGAATAAGGTATCATATAGATTATCCCTACGACCGTCCTCGATCGGCGATGACACATTGCGTGCACTGGCGCTACTCACGTAAATCGGCGTCCTCAGACAAATGAAGATCTTAAAACGCACCATCGCCCCTACAACAAACTGAATTTATTTTGGACGGCTTGATTACCGCTCAACTTGTTTCTCCACCCACACAATTCATGGCAATCCTATGGGCTTAAAAGGATCTTCTTACCAACGAAGACGTTTGCCAATCATCACGAGCTGTCAGCATCACGAGCAGCGCGTGCTCGTACTCCTCATGCTCGTACATTCGTGCTGTGAAAATTGCAGGCTCTTCCTGCCATCTTTTTGACCTGCACACGGGCCAGCAAGCTAGAGACGGGAAGCAAACTGACAGAAATACGGAGAGAGACATATTATCGTAGACAGTATATCATAAGACAGCCTCGTTTGGACGAGGTACTAGTGCAAAGATACTGTGCACCTGCATATTGGAGTCGACCTCATTCTGCAATCCATGGTCTAAACTTCTCTCCAACGAAGATCATTTGGTTCACCCTTGTCTATCAAAAGGAAGTCTTTGAAGCTATTTTGTGGTCTCTGACTTTTTAATATTCTCTCGTGCTTTTTCTTTCTCAAGACACATTTCTCAAGCTGCATTTTCAAAGCAGTGACCACTTCGCGGCGTGCTGTCAGTTTGCCTACCACAGCAACCCGTGGCTGCGTGCGGGCTGCCAAAGGTTAGGGGATAATTACCAACAGGTATTGCCGTGGAGGTCAAACGATTCCATAAACAACCGCTGGATGGTCTCTGCAGGCGGCCGCGATATCTGCTCAAGGTCTGGGCTGGCTTCAAGGTCATCCAGCGAGACACCCCGGTCTGTTCAGGGCTCCGACAGCCTTGTGGGTTATGACCGCCGGAGTTGAGTTGAGGAGGGGAGTTGATCTCCCCACCTTTGCCAACAGGCAATATTCTTCCACAGCAATGAACACAATTCAGTTCATGATAATTTGGTGTAACAAACTCCTTAACTGATCTTGTGAATACATCATTCACGGTAATGCATAGTACTTATTTTTAATCTTATGAACTGAGCATGGAATGATATCTAGTACCATTTCCTGCACGGCAAATGGCAATGCCATGTGTAGTAAAGGCTGCCTTATATTGACCGCCGTTTTTCTTACACACGTTTAAAGACTTTTCTCGGCCATGTCATTCCCTTTGCTCCGGAACGGCAGTGAAGCGTGCACCGCAAGTGAAATCCAGTATGGCTGTATTCCACAGTGGTTTTCTATTTCAGTCACATCTCAAGTGTTTTGCTTAATGGTGACCAGAGAAAGTTTCCTAGAGAAGGTATAGAAAAGCGTCCGGCCTCTTGCATCTGCTGCCTTTTTTATTCTGAATACAGCTGTTGCGTCAATTGGCAGAAAACAACTTGAAAGGAAGACACACTGGTCTGAGTGCAGCACATTTATTCATATCAATGTAACAATCTACCGTCGGTTCGTCTAAAACATCAATAAACCAGCTTACAGAATCACAGAGCATGCCGGATGCTATGATCGCGTGAACCGCAGCTGAGCCGACATCGTCCAGCCCCTGTTTCTTTGCAACAAGTTCGTGTCTGCCCGGCAGACATTGCACGATAACGACAGCGGAACTCGTCCACCGGCCCAGGAGAGCGTTCGGGGACCGGAGCCGCACGGATCCGTCGCTCTAGCGTGCCGCTCTCCCTACCACCGGCTGTGTGTCGACGTCGTGCCGACGTCTTGGCCCCCGGCCGTTTTCCTGCCACGTCTTTGCTGCTCTCTCCGCCTCGTCCAGGCTCCTTTCCGCGTTCGGACGCTCGGCTCTAAGCGTTGGGGTAGAAGCTGAGGCAGGCCAGGAACCGCTTCCAGTACTCGCTGTTCAGTGCCGCCTGGTTGTTGGCGCAGCTGTTGGGGCCCGTCTTGTGCACCATGGCGTAGTCGGAGCATGTTCTGAGGCCGTCACCGTCGCAGTCGCGCGGGTACTTGGCCATGTACTTGCGGATGACGGCCGCCGAGCAGAACGGGTCGGAGGTGCACGACTCGTACGAGTACGAAGCGAAGTTAGCCTCCTGCTGCAGCTCCGAGTCGAGGAAGAAGGCCCGCGAGATGAGGAAGGGGCCGCAGTAGCCGGCCGACGTGCAACCCAGCGTGGTGTTGCAGGCAGTGGAGGCCTCGCAGATGCAGCCAAGGCAGGTGGAGCTCACCAACTCCTGGCCGGAGGCCAGGCCGGCCAACGCCACCAACACCGCCGCCACGACACAGTACGTCTGCATGCTGAGCCACACCGCAAGGGTCTGGCGGGCAGAAGCCGCCGCAGAATAAATACGCTCTCGTGGCGAACAGGATTTCCCGGTGTGAGCCCGTGACGTCGGGCCGGCACCGCGGCGTCACTCGATAATCGGACGCCGGGTGTGGGCAGCTGGGCGCGCGCCGTGCCTGATTAGCGGGGGTGTCGGCGCGCGCCGGCCGTTCGCGGTAATGGCCCCGTCAATTAACCTTGGCAGTGTGCGTCGTCCCGCGCACGCTCCTCCCTCCGGACAATCGAGGGAGTCGCGCAGCGCTTCGCGGCGACCCGGGTCGTCCAGAACCGGTTCGCAGGCGTCGGGAACGGCAACAGCGCGCCCGTGCAGGACGGTTGGCCGCCCCGGCCGCCTCGCTGCCGGTCCGCAGCGGAGAGACACGGGCGAACGTCGAACCGGGAACTGCCCGCGGCGGCCGGCGACGGGTGCCGACCTGGACCTGGGCCCAGGCCGGGGCGAGCGAGGGGCGGCCCGCGCGAGTGTTCATCTCACAAACCGGACCGGTGGGGGTGAGGTGGCTCGCCGCCGAGTTGACCCGGATGCGACGGTCCCGCCCACAGCCCTGCCCCGAGCCGCGGGTGACGCGTGGGTAGGCTCTCTCTCTCCCTCTCTCTCTCTCTCTCTCTCTCTCTCTCTCTCTCTCTCTCTCTCTCTCTCTCTCTCTCTCTCTCTCTCTCTCTCTCTCTCTCTCTCTCTCTTTCTCTCTCTCTCTCGCTCTCTTTTGCTTTTTCTCTCGCCCTCTCTCTTTCGCTCTTGCTCTCTCTCGCTCTCGCCCTCTTTCTCTCTCTCTATTCCTCTCTACCACTCTCTGCTTCTCTCTCTCTCTCTCTCTCTCTCTCTCTCTCTCTCTCTCTCTCTCTCTCTCTCTCTCTCTCTCTCTCTCTCTCTCTCTCTCTCTCTCTCTCTCTCTCTCTCTCTCTCTCTTTCGCTCTCGCTCTCTTTCTCCCTCTCTGTCCCATTCTCTCGCTCTCGCCCTCTCTCTTTCTCTCCCTCTCTTTCTAAATCCTCCTTTCTCCATCCTGCTCTCTCCATCTGTATTTTTCTCACTCTCTCTCCCTCGCTCTACCCCTCTCTCTCCCCCCTTCTCTCACCTGAGAAGAACCCTCCAGGATGTCAAGACTGGGGTCTACGGGCTATGGTGTATCGACTATGGAGAGCTGTACAGATTCACGCATATCTGCCCAAACGAGGTGTGGATTGTGTTGGCAATAGTATGGTCTCATTTCATGGATAGGTATATTCTGATGTTGCTAAAGAGGTCTAGTTTTACGATTGAACTGGTGATCACTTCTTTTCCTCAATCATGCATGGTTACTTTCATGTTCCCACTAATGTATCTTTAAAAAAACGCGATTTGGTTGGTAGATGGCATAGGTAGATCACTATTTAGCAGACTTCTATCCACGCCCTGTATCATGGTTCTAGTGCGCTTAGAGCCACGGGGTTTTCAACAGGCGGTCGCTTTTTATTTTGTTGTTTTAAGTTTTCACGAGAAGGGAGATTGCGGGATAATTCATTACAGCTTTTTCAAGGAAAGACTCACATACTTGTCGAAAAAGGAAATGTTTGCTACCGCGGGCTTTTTAAAGTGCATTATGTTTTGTTTGGGGGGGGGGGGGGAGGAATACATGGGCCCAACGCGTACCGATCTTTGCTACATAGGTGTCATTATCGATTTTCAACTAACGACAACGGGTCCGTGGCTTGGGATTCCAATAGCACTCTGATTCAAATTTTAAGAGTGGACGATAGCCCCCTCATTATTCAGTTGCGTAGCTTGAATTTCGTCCGGGGGGTTGAGGGGGGGGGGGGGTGAGGTGGGCAAATGAAGGCTTAAGCGGCCTTTTAGTATCAATTCAGTGCACATTTTTCGCTTGACATCTTTTTTTCATAGTTCGAGGGTGTGTTGTTTATGCTTAAGAAGTCATACAGGCGTAATCTGCCCTTCGGCCAACCAGTCATAAATTGTGCAAAAGTCTGTGTAGATTTGTTGCGATTTCTCTGTATGGTCAAGGACCTCCGAATGGAAGAAGGACTTGCGGGACTGTAAGTTCTGAAATGAGCATTTTTGAATCCGCGTGCAGCTCTTAAGAATTGTATATGGCTTTTCAATTCCCTTTAAGAAATGATCGGATTGCGGATGGGACTGTAAGCTATGCAAGCTCTTACCATCCATCCGACCCACCTAAATGTTCAACAAATTTTGTTTTGAATAGCTTTGAACATTTTACATCTGAGAAGGAGCGACTAAGTTTGTCAATCTGGTAATTTGGCCATCCGAGCACTTATCAAACGGTAACAAACTAAGATTCTGTGACAAGCCAAGGAAGATTTGAAACAGTTTTGACACAACGTGCAGATATTTACAGATTGTTTGTTAACAGGGACGTATTTCGACAAGTGAAGATGGGAGATATGAATTAGGAGTTGCGTGAGTAGTTTGTAGAACATTATTGGATGATGTATCACCTTCTGTTATAGAACAAATGCATCAAGTGCAGCACAGGCAACATCTTCTCATTTATCCATACTTGGGCACGGTTCAGAAAGGATTAGGAGAAGGATTGGTTTGAGAATCATTTAGCCATGTTTTGTTGCGGTTAAACAAAAGAACGAAAAAAGGTGATTGTAAATCGAGGATTTTAATCTGTCGGTCCAAATATAGTTAGATATTGATTTGCGATAATAGTTTTAAGGGATGATTCATAATTTGACTGAAATGCTTTAAAATGCGACTCTATATTCCACTGGCCCTAGGACATGATTCATGGTGACATGATTCATGGTAACATAATTCGTGGTGACATGATTCATGGTGACATGATTCATGGCACCCTAATCGGGCTGACACTGATGACATTTTATATTGATGTCACGCAGAAGTCACTTTTAACTCAGACCGTGCTTCGGGTGTCTTGTTCGGTTTCTATGAACATGTCTTGGATATTGTCGCCCAATGAATGCTAGGGCCTTTGGAAGTATGCCTAGTACTAGTCCTTGTCAGCTGTGAACAGCGTCCAGGACATGCCACCAGTGCCAGCTTCTGACTGCCTATGAGCTGATTCACGGGTGCGCTGTCACGGCTAGAGCATCGGCTTAAAGCTGGGTGTCGCGCCGCACCACGTCAGCCACGCCCCGTGTAGCCCGAGCAGAGCACTGACGCGCCGTGTTTCCCAAACTGTCCCAACTCAACCAGCCAGCTGAACGTGGACCACTCCCCGATTTGGCTGCCTGCTCACCGGGCCGGCCAGCTGGACATGGACCACTCCCCAATCTGGTCGCCCGCTCACTGAGTCGGCCAGCGTTATCTTCGCGGTATGTTGCGACATGATATTCACGAGCTGACTTGTTGCCAAGGTGATTAATTAAGTTCGTGGACTCAATGTCGTGGCCATAAGCAAACGGGATGGCCTGCAGTTTGATGGCGCTTTTGATGACTGCAATGCAGACCAAGAGCCAAGCCTGGCGGCGCGGCCGGCCACCGCCCAACCCGCCGCGTGCAGAGCCAGAGCTGGGCATCCCGCGAAACCGCCTCCCGCTGTGGTCTCTAATGGGAAATGAATCCCACGCAGGTGTCACAATCAGGCATAATGGCGACCGATGTGTAATTAATATCATTTTATCTCCGCTGAACAACCCCTTTCTCACTAATGGAGCACACCTGGGGTTGATTAATGACGCAGTGCCGTCGCTTGGACGCTAACATAGCATCCTAGCCGTGTGACTGAAGGAAGGTTTTGTGATCAAGAGCCTCACCAAGATTGACCTCGACGTTCCCTGTTAACACCGGCGGCATCACACTGGAGCGTAACGCATGCTGGAAAATTCTGGCAGATGTGTTTCATAGGAAGGTTGTCTCCTGCCAGCGCGGCTCGTTGCGTGTCGACAACATGCGCGGGAGCACATAGGAAAGGATTGTGCGCGTGGATGGAGGGGGGGGGGGGGGAAGCAGCAGCAAGAACTGAACCATCTAACGGCATGACAATGAAACCAATGTCATCAATCTCGGCAGTTCTTCCAACCTCACTTTCACTCCTCATTGTTTGCGTCTGTCTGTCCTTATGTCAGTAGGTCCCCCCCCCCTCCTAATCAAATGACTGTCTTTGCTTCGCCTCGCTTATCCTCTCCCGCCCGATCTCCTTCGATCTGAGATCTTCAACCACGCTCGTTTTATGCCTGCTGCTTGATGTGCCACTTCAAAGAAAGCTTACTAGCCTGCTACCATTCAGCAATGGAGGGAATCTGCTTATACGGAATATGCGGCCAGTGGCTCTGATGATCGCTGATCATCGGCGGCGTGGGAACAAAATACAAAAATGACAGTCATTACACATAGGCCCAGATCATTTGTTCATCATAATCATCATCATCACCATGCCAACATGGCGCCATGGCGTCATGGATGACGTCGCGACACACACTTTCTCACTAATTGAATAAATATATGACATGAATGAAAGAGCTGCTGGTATATTTTCCAACTAAAAGCAAGCTCGCTGCTCTCCAGGTATCTGGCCATTCCTTGCTGCCGAAGCCTTTATCTGAACCATATGATTACGAGCGTAAGCTCCAACAAAAGCGTTGGGCGGGTAACTCAGCAGGTGGATTTCGGGAAGTTCGATCCTCTTAATGCCTTTTCAGATTCATCCGAGCAACGAATTGAGTTTATACCGAAAAATGGGTTGGGAACGGGAGGGATTTTCGTAGTTTCCAGCCCATACGGATCGAACACATTGAACCCCTAAAAGCCACATCTAAATGGCCTCGCAAACGCCAACTTGGTACACCATTTTTGAGGAATGTGCGTCCACACAAAAACACTCCGCGTCAAAAGAAATGTGCCATTTTTTTGGTCTATTAAAAAGCACTATATACAACACACTACTGACTCAGGGCACTAAAAGATCAGCTAAAAACTGTAATAATGCGGCTGGGTAGTGCCACTGCGGCACCATCCATATAAATTAAGTATA